AGAGTACGACAGTCCGGCCATGACCCCTCGACACAGCGGCGCAGCTTGCCAGATAGCAAATAGAACCGCGTGTAAAAATGCATGCTGCTACGCCGCCGAACACGGCTCGGCCTCGTTTGATGTGGCCCGTCGACCACAAGAGCAAGGGCGGGCGGTGGAAGCCGGCAAATTCAACCGCCCGCCCGCTCATCACAAGGACTCAGATGGTACAAGTTCAATGCTCAATGCGGCTCATGACAAACCGCTTGGAAAACCCATTCAAGCCAAGGCACGCAACCCCGCGGGGTTAAACGGCCACCAGATGTCCCCTCCGCGTCGGGATCCTGCGCAATGTACTCCACCACCCTGAACCCTGCAGTACCCTGTACTGGCGACATGAACTGCTTCGTCCTGGGGCATCGGAAGGGGCTGTCGAGGCGGATTGCCCGCCTCCTAGCATCATCCACTTGTCTCTTTCTAGGGTTCAAGGCTTTAAGTTTGAGTTTAGGCTTTAGGGCTTAAGGCCACACACCCTGAACAACACACATTATTCCCTTTTGCTACTGGGCTCAAGTCTAGCCAGACTAGGGCCTGAAATCATCTTGACTAAGGCCCACCGATACAGAGCCGCTCAGCATGACTACGGTATGTATATATATATATATATACATATATATATATATGTATATATCTATCTCTCTAATATAGTATTATATCCATTAAATTACGTTGCGATATAGTATACGAGACGCGAGAAAAAAGAAGAGCTATAAGAAGAAGAGAACAGATAGCACCAGCAACATCAAAAATCTCCTATAATATACTAAGAAAGATAATGTATTTTCGAGTATTCTAATAAATACGAAACCAAATATTATTATCGTTTTATAATTTAGACTCTTAGAACTCTATGAACAAACTAAATATTTAAATAATTTCTGAAATAATCTTAAGAAAAATTGTCTAATCATAATGGGTATATTTGTAGATATCATTATTATTTCAGACTCGTAAGATTCAGATTCGAAATAAAATGAATCTCTTGAAGATATCCTATTTATGATATATAAATAATGCATATATATATATATTCAGGTATATGTATATGAATCTAGGTACTATCTATCAAATATTGTCGAAGCCGTACCTACCGGCTCGGCTCTCGTTCAGCGTGTTTCCGCAACATGTTGACATAAATCATACTGCTGACATAACACATGCACTTTACTATGTCTGGCTCATGATATTGTCCAAAAAGCTATAAATCACGAGGATATAAAAGCTCCCCAGATTCATTCACGGTCCATTAAGATCGTGCTGATGTGGTCCTTGTAAAATTGTTTTGACATCATGCCGCTGTTCCATCTCGCGGGGATGATGGTGGATCTGTGGCCACCTGCGCACGCAACTGGAATAGCGTCGATGGGAATCTAATTGCAGCGATGGACCAAACGTTATGGCTTAGCTGGATAGACACGACCTCGAAGGCTGACCAACTAGGTCTAGCAGCAATAGAAACCTGGCGAAATTTTTGCCCGTCTTACACTATAGCAGTACGCAGTGGTGGATACCTCTCTTTCGTTCACAGGACGCTTTCCTGGAAGATCTGCACCTCTCTCGAAAGGGGCAGAAAGCAGAGCAGCAACGTGATATGGGCCGGGAGTTTCCGCAATTACGGTACTTTATTACGGTGCCCCATTTTCGGAAGCTCCCATATTGACAACACGGCAGCTGGGTTCGTGGTGCAAAACCGAACCAACAACAGGCAGCCAGCACCAATCAACCTCCAACAACTACCAGCAGCACCAAATGACAGCAACCACCTCAACCAGGCAGAACAGCAGCAGCAAGGCCAGCGACAAACACTGCACAATCAAAATCGAAATTACAAAACATCTTCATTAGATCATCATCGTCGTCATCATCGCCGAGATCCTCGCAATCGCCCAGAGTTCTTGTCAGGGGAATAATGCCAGTTCGACACTACGCAACACGCTCGTCACGACTATCGAACCCGGCATAGCAGCAGCCGTCGTCGCCGAGTAGGAGCAGCCATCGTTCAAGCAGCAGTAACACTTTTTGCGGACTCTCGCGGTAGCGGCAGCGATGTGGTAAGTCTATCAGGAAAAAAGAGCACAGTGCACGAGATGAGTGAGTCCTCATGCCACGTTCGCTTCATCTCTGACTTGCACCTGATCCAAGCTTTCAGGCGTTCCGAGTTTCAGAGAAGCCGAGCTACCCTAAATCCTATGCCCTAAACCCTAAGCCCTAAGCCCTGAACCCTAAGCCCCAAACCAAAGCCCTAGACCCTAAGCCCTAAGCCCTAAACCCCACTGCAGCAAGGAGCCCGGACCTCCCAATTGCTGGCCAGTCTATCTCCCTCTCTCCCGCGCAATCTCACTCAAAGTAGAAATTCACAATCACCCCAAGCCCGAAATACCCTAAAACCCAAATCCCTAAACTCTAAACCCTGAATTCGAAACCCAGATCCAGTCTTGAGCTCTGGGACCTCGCTCGGGTGCTCTTCCTCGGTTTCTTCGGCATCCTGCGCAGGTCAGGAGCTAAAGCCTAGAGCTTGAGGTCTGGGGCTCGGGTTTGAAAGTATTGTTAGTAATTACTAGGGACTAGGGGTTTAGGGTTTGAGGTTGAGGATGCCTTTGTGGGGTGTAAGATAGGGGCCTTTACAATTTTGTTGAATAGGTTTTTGGGTGTTCCTTGAAAAGGTTCCCTTGAGGGACTATAAGTAACCTTTTGAAAAAGAGGTGTAGATTTAATTCGGAGGCCTCTAGAGCAGGGTTGATGGATATCTGATCGTCTACTTGTATTTAGGAACCTTATGCATTACTATTGCCAATTTCGTATGCCCCTTTTTGAACAAATTCTGTAGACTCCAATATTGTATGCACATCCCAACCCCAAACCCGTGCACCGCTTAGGGTTCAAAGACCAGGAACTTCGGTGAGTGAGTTTGAGTCTCATTGGACCATCGTCGTGCTGCTCTTTTCACTCGACCTGTTTAGGTTTAGGGTTCAGGGGTTTGGAGGTGTAGGCTTCATTCTCACGGTTATTGTTGCAACCTTTCGGACGAATACTAAACGGATCTAGTGACGAGTTTGCTGTTCCTCTTGTCAACTGCCCAGAACCCCGGGAGGAGTTAGAAAGTAGATCCCTTAATATGGGGCCCTAAACTACTAAGGGTACCATCAAGGGATCTACTTTTTGGATCCTTTTGGGGGTCTGGGTGAGAACCCTGATAGACCTTAAGGCCATGGTGCTGTGGTGAACTATGGCCATCACAACTACAACTTCCGCAAGTGGTGCGGAGAGGCTCCTGCTAGGACACTTGCTTCCTCAAAGACTAGACTACCCTAAACCCTAAGACTATGACCGATGTAAGGGCCTGAATACTGAAGTAAGGGCCTGAATACCGATGTAAGGGCCTGGATAATTACAAGGAGGGTTTGGTGGCACATTATTGCATGCGCGAAATCAGAACCGCACAGAATAGTACTACTACTCAATTCAGACTTCTCTGTTAGTTCGTTGCTGCCGTTGCATGAAACTCAAGCCGTGAAGTTTCGGGTGTCAAGGTTTCGAGCTTGCAATCGCTGGCAGCCTCACGCACCCGACAGTCGGGGCTCTAATCCGTCCGCACGGCTCTGAATAATTAGAATAGGGTTGAGAGTGATGCATGCGTGCGCAATGTCACTAACTATGTATGATGCGTGCATGTGTAATGACACTACGTCTGCGACCTACGACAACGACTACACTGCGAGCTCGAATCATCTAAGACTACGAGGACGAAGATTTCCAGCACTACCACTACGCGCTACCACTAGTTCTAATGCTGTTCGATGGCTTAATGAGAAACCAAGCTGGCTGCATGAGTGCTAACAGACACAAATCATCGCAGGTAGGTAAAACAGTGGCCTTCATAAGGGGCCCATTATTTTGCAATTAAGGAACCCCTCAAAATGGTATCGGTAATTATTTAGGCTCCTATAGTATGTTTTCAACATTGCGTGTTACTGCGACGAAAGCCCCAAAACCTTTAAACCGAACCGAGTGAAGCCGTATGTAGTTTAAAGCCATGTATACAAACAAGCAATGACAGATAATGCGCAATAATCCTACGGTTTAGGGCTTAAGGTAACTCTAAACTTTAAACCCATAAGCCCTATACCAATGTACGAGCCTCGGCATCAGGAACAGAATCATCTTCATCCGTGGAGACCTGACAACCAGGCTTGGAGTCCAGGGGTGCAGCATGGGGGCCTTAACAGTCAGAATCGGGCTTACTTACTTTAACCAGATTTTCTTCTGCAGTACGAGACCTCTTCAGAAAGCCTTGTGCATTGATTGCACTAGGTTTCCACTGTGGAGCAAGAGCGCGTGCGATGCAGGGATATGAACTGCCGGTGAATCGCAAGCGGTTCGGTGTCTTGATGGGAGGCCAAAAGGGGGGTTTAAGATTCTTGGGGTAAGGGTTCTTTAATATGAACCCTATTATGGGAACACTAATCCATGCTAAGCCCCCATCGGCTAACACTCTTTTGGCCTCCTATGATATCTGGAGCTCGTTGCTCCCGCTTGTAGGGTTTGGGGTTCACAGACTATCAGATAATACTTCTCCGTTCAATCTGAGAACAAGTAGCGGGGGCTGCGTTTTTGCAAACAGCAGTGCTAGTACGGTGCAAAATTCTTTCTCAATTAGTAGTACAATGGACATTTGAAGTCTTCTAAATTTAATTAAACTCAATCTTGACTCGTTTGCTTATGGCGTGTGTGTGTGTGTGTGTGTGTATGTGTGTGTGTGTGTGTGTGTGTGTGTGTGTGTGTGGTGTGTGTGGTGTGTGTGTGTGTGCGCGTGCGCTTGCATTTGTTCCGCATCTTAATCTTCATTTCGGTTGTGTTTATTTGTTTTCGCTTGAAAATGCTCGTGCGCTGGCGGAATCAGACAAAGAAATCGCGCCTCGATTCTCTACGTTCATTACATTGCATGTACTTTTCTTTCATCG